CAGTGGTGCCGCGCCCCCTTCAATGACTGAATTCCTCTCGCAGTTTCCTACCAACACCAGGACGCGCGGCACAGCCACTTCCGGCGCGACCCCTGGCCCGAGACAACCTCGGGCAGCTACGCTCGGGGCAGAACCGCCCACTGATCCCGGGTTAGGACCCGCCTAGCACCGCCCACAAGCCTCGCGCGCTCCCGCAGGCCCAGTAACCGCGAGACAAGTCAGGCTGGGCCCCGCCTCCTCCGGGGCCCCGCCCACCTACCTCACGCGCGAGAGGCGCATGAGCAGTCCTAATGCCAAGTCACGGGTCTGCAGCCTGCGGATCCGCATCTCTTGCGCAGCTTTCGTCACGCGGAAGTGAGGCCTTGAGTACTTCAGACGCTTTGTTCCCGCCGACCGGAAGTGCTTGAGCCGGTTTAGCTGGCGCTTCCGGACTGAAGAAGGTTCCTTAAATTGCTCTACAAATAGGTCACCAGCGCCAGGGAAGCTCGAGTCCTGGTCTGAAAGTCGTGGAAAATTTAAGACCTGAGGCAAAAAACTAAGTCCCAGATACAAGGTGCAACCTAGGAAGGTCACAGAGTGGCAGAAATGAGTTTAGAGTCCAGGTTTTCAGGTTCAAAACAAATGCTTTCCTGCCATTAACCAGCCTGTCACAAGTAAATTCACCCTAGCTCACTGTTGTTTTTCTGAACTGGCGTTGTCTGAATCCAGACATAACCTCCTTGTTAGTATTTCTACGGCCCCTCAGGACAGCTCTCCAGTTTCTCACTGGTAAGTATATTAGAATCCCCGCTTTTAAGTTCTAGGGTTGTTCTGCTTTTGGTTTTGCTTCAGATTTAAACCGAGACCTTGGGCACGCAAAGCACACACTCTGCTCCCGAGTGCTGACAGAAGAGTCATTTTTAATAAGGTTAGTATAGTAGCTGTCAACACAAAAAATCTCTCACCTGAAAGGGAATAAGAATTTGTTCTATCTGGTGGTGGCATCAGCACAAGCCTTTAATCCCAGCATTCAGGAGGAAGACAGGCAGATCGCTGAGTTTGAGCCCTAGCTGTCCTAGAACTGGCTCTGTAGACCAGGCTGCCCTTGAACTTGTAGAGATCTGCTTGTGTCTGCCTACCAACTACTGGAATTAAAGGCGTACACCACCACTGCCTGTGGGACTATTATAATATAGGGGCTAGAGTCAGTCGTTAAGAGCACTGGCTGCTCTTCCCGAGGTCCTGAGTTCCGTTCCCAGCAACCACATGGTGGCTCACAACCATTCATAGTGAAATCTGGTGCCCCCTTCAGAGCACAAAAAAAAAAAAAACTATATAGATATAGATATATATATGAATTTAGTTAGGTCAAAAACAGAGGTGAAATGCTCTTTTTTTTATTTTCCTGGTTTTTGGAGACATGGTTTTTCTGTGTAATCCTGGCTGTCCTGGAACTCACTGTGTAGACCAGGCTGGCCTCAAACTCAGAGATTTGCTTACCTCTGCCTCCTGAGTGCTAGGATTAAAGTTGTGTGCCACCAGGCCTAGCTTCAGTGAATGGCTCATAGGGAGACTAAAGATAGCCCAAGAGAATTTGGCTCTGGGTCGACAGCCTGCTGATTGTTCATAATCATGATGTCCTAGTCAGTCAGTCAACTGAATCTTTACTATTGGTTTGGCTTTTTTTCTCGGAGCTTCAGTTCACATGACAGAAACATAGAAACAATTTGTAACCCAACACACACACAAAATGATTAAGTAAATTCTGTAATACCCATTCAGGGGAAATATTTTCAGTGTTGGAAATTGAACCCAATGCCTTCTGTATAATAAGCATATACTCACCAGGAAGCTGTATCCCAGCTCCAACCAGGACTGTTTACCTACTTTTATTAGGGCCTCCCATTAATGACCACTTTTAAGAGGTGGCTCTTCATTTTCCTTTGAAGTCTTCATTAAAGCCTTAAAGCCAGGTTGTGGTTTAAGTTTGTAATCTCAACACTTGGAAGGTGGAGGTAAAACCACGAGGAATTCAAGGTCATGATCTTCTACATAGTGAATTAGGGGGTAGTCTGAACTACATGAGACTAACTCAGAATAAAGCAACTAAAGAGCTACTTGTGATGCCCCACCTTCTCATCACAGCTCAGGAGTTACAGGCCATTTTCATCTATATAGTAAGTTTGAGGCCAGCCAGGGCTAAAGACAGCATGAGGTCTTGGAGGGGAGCAGGCAGGTGGGGAGAGAGAAGAGTTTGAGAAAACCTGTGAAGTGCTGTTGCTGGAATGACCAATCATAAGGGCTATCTCTGAGGACAGTGAAATGGTTCAGTGAGCAAAGGTTCTTACCGCCAAGCCTGACAACCTGAGTTGGAGCCCCAGAACCCACAAAATAGAAGGAGAGAACCAATTCATACAAGTTGTCCTCTGGCCTCCATGCTAATGCAGTGTCCTGAGTATGCACATATACAATAAGTAAATATAAAAAGAAAATTCAGGCTAACAATTTGGTAGCGTGCTGGACTAAAGTGTCTGGCCCAAGGTTTAATCCTTAGTACTGCAAAACAACAATAAAGGAGGAAGAGTTGATTATTTAGTCAATGGTAGACCACTTGTCTAGTAAGCACAAGCCCTAGAGTTGGTCCCAGCATTGAAGGGGAAAAAAAGAAAAAAAAAAAAAAAAAAGGAGACAATAAACACAAATAGCAAAAAGTGCAATTAACTACAAGTAGGGAAAAAAAAAAAAACCCTACAAAGTAAGTTCAAGACTATCCTGGACTACAAAAAGAGACCCTGGGATGGGGAGATAGAAGAGTTGACCAAGAAAGTTCAAAAAACTTGATTTGGATCCCCAGTACCCAAATAAAAAACCAGGAATGGTGGCTTACCTGTAGAGTTAGCAGTGAGGAAACAAAGATTTGATTCATCAAAGATCAAAGGGTCTTTGATGCTTGCTGGGCAGCTAGTTTTGCCAAGTCTGTGAGCTCTGTGAGACTCTGTCTCAAAAAATAAGGGGCATGGGGCAGAAGAGATGCCTTGGCAGTTAAAGCACTTGTTCCTTCAGTTTCAGGGTATAGTTCCTAACACCCAATGGTAGCTCACATCCATCTGTAATTACAATTCCAGGAGACTCAACACCCTCTTCTAGTTTCTTTTCACACATGTGCAGGCAAACACTCCCATACTCACTCACTCACTCTATCTTCTCTCTCTCTCTCTCTCTCTCTCTCTCTCTCTCTCTCTCTCTCTCTCTCACACACACACACACACACACACACACACACACACAAAATCTTAAAAAAAAAAAAAAATGAAATGGAGTTAGTCCTGATAGCACTAGTCCTTAATCCCAGAATTTGGGAGATAGCCAAGCAGATCTCTGAGTCAGAAGCCAGCCTAATCTACGACGCAGTGAGTTCTAGGCCAGCCAGGGCTACATAGTGAGACCTGTTTGAAGAAAACCAAACCAGTGTGGGGAAGGGAGATGGCACACCTTTAATCACAGCGATCAGGAGGCAGAGGCCAGTCTAGTCTATAGAGTGAGCATTAGGACATCAAGGGCTACGTAGTGAAACCCTGTCTGGGTAAAGAGAGAGAGAGAGAAAAGAAAAGAAAAACAAAGCAAACCAAACAAAATACCATGGAGAATAGAGGACACATGATATTGACCTCTGGCCTCCAGGTGAACATCAACATACATTCATACACTCGAAATCTCGAGTGCGCGTACAAACACACACACAGAGCCAACTTCTCATAAAAAATAAATAAATGAAGGTGAAATAAGGACATTAATGACCAACAAAATTAAGGGCATAGTCATCAGCAGACTTGGAGTGTAGGAACTGTTGAAAGATGGTAGCAGAAGAAAATGAAGCTCTGAATGGAGAAGAACCCAAAGGAGTAAGTGGGTGAATTAAAAGAAAGTTTTCCCATCAGGTTATAGTGGCGTACACCTTCAATCCCAGCACTCAGGCAGCAGAGGCAAATGGATCTCTGTGAGTTGAAGGACAACCAAAGCTACCAAAAAAAAAAAAAAAAAAAAAAAAAAAAACCTTGTCTTGAAACCCCCCCCCCCCCAAAAAAAAGAAGAAGAAAAAAAAGTTTTCCCAGAGGGCTGGAGAAATGGCTCAGAGGGTAAGCGCACTGGCTGCTTTTCCAGGGGGCCTGAGTTCAGTTACCAGCACCCACATTGTGGCTCACAACCATCCCTTATGAGATCTGGTGTCCTGGTGTGTAGATATACATGGAAGCAGAATGTTGTATACATAAAAAATAAAGTATTTAAAAAAAAAAAAGTCTTCCCATCTGGGAGTGATGAAGCCCTTCAGTTCTTTATTCTTCACCCTTCTTTCTCCTGCACCAGGATCCCTAAGTGGACCTATTATTCACCTAGATTTTTTGTTTTGAAGCAGGGTCATATGCAGCTCAGGTTAACTTCAAAACTGCTATGTAGCTGAGGATGATTGAAAACTTCTGACATGCTGTGGTGATATATTGTTTATGATTTATTAAAGCCACTAGAGATCAAAATAGCAAAGCAGCCATAATATTTAACCATAGAAGCCTGGCACGGCACCTTTAATACCAGGACTCAGGATTAAGAGGTAGAGGGATCTCTGAGTCCAAGACCACCCTGGGCTACTAGAGAATAAATCAAAGCTCACCCCTTTAGTCCCAGGATTTGAGAGGTATAAAAGGTAGAGGCATTCAATCTGAGAATGAGTCTCTAGCCCCATTGAGGAGAACATAGCAGTCTGAGTGGATCTGAGGCAAGCAGTTTGGGGATGGCCCTGTTGGTCTGAGCTGAAGTAGAGGTAAGAGCTAGAGGCCAGCTGCTTTGCTTTTCTGATCTTCAGATTGAAGCTTGAACCCCATTATCAGTCTCTGGGTCTTTTATTTTGTGTGTGTGTGTGTGTGTGTGTGTTTTACAACAGTCCTTCCTCCACATCCTGAGTGATGAGATCACAGGTTTATGCCACCACACCATGTTTGTATGGTGCTAGGTCAAATCCAGGGCTTCGTGGATGCTGGGCAAGCTCTCTACCAACTGATTTACATCACCAGCCCCCCTTTTCACCTAGTTCTGGCTTTTATCAGTCTAAGTTATCACAGTCCTCTGTTGTCGTTCTTTTCATTTACATTGGCTTTTGTTTTT